GCTCTAAAGGCTGCATGCTATACCCCTTTATAAGGTGATTTCTCAGTTCTTCATTGGAAGAAGTTTCCTTAGTTTTTCATATATTTATTAACTTCCTCAAGAAATTAAAGTGATTCTAATCTGCTTGCCTGAGAAGCTATATGAAGGTAATATTTTATACTTTTGCCTCAAAATCTTCTCAAAATCTCCAATCTACTGTCGGGATTTTACCCTTTTGAGAATGAAAATATACTTTTCTTTTTCAATATTGTCTAGCACTGAAAGTTGTCAGTTTCCATTTTTTTGCTTATTTTGATTTCCTGGGAATAACAGCATAAAACATTCCTTAAACTCACAATGTTAAGAAGTAAATGGAGAATTCCTTCTATTCCTTACTGCCAACTGAGAATATTCATATCCAAACCCTTCACAACTCAGTGAATAAGCCAAACCCAATTCTCTGTAAAAGTGAGCCTTTTAAAATCTTTTCTTAATTTATTTATATCAAATAAAGAACTGTATTAATGTAAACAATGGTTTATTTCATAAATAATTGAAATGAGCCAGGAATTGAGTCTTCCGTGCTTAGAAGTAAATATTTAGTAACTAAAACAGAACTTACTATTATCTTAGCTTGACTTTGCGCAAGGTTCTGTTAAGCCAGGAATACACTGGAAACTGGAAGTCAGTGTCATGACATTTACCTTCAGGAGTTTACAAGTGGTGAACATGCTAGAACCTTGTAACTAAAATCATACCTTTTGTCACAAAAAGAGCAAAGACTGATCTGATAAACTCCCCTTTTGGCTAGAAGGAAGTAACAGAGATTTTGTCCTTTTTAAAATGTATGTCTGAGTAGGGATGAGGCTAAAATGATGGAGTGTTTGGGCAGAACTATTTTGCATTCCTACATTTGGACATAAATCCTTGGTCAAGCATGTAAACACAATGAAGACAGGATGTATTCCATTCTCAGTTCTACCACAATTGTGCTTAATTTCAGCAGTAGTTCTGAGCTTAGTTTCCTTAAAAGAGAAATAGGAATAATGAATGCTTTCACTTGCAGATCTGTATTGGTGATTAAAGTGTGTTAAAATACTAATAAAAGGGCTGGTATACAGTAGGCATTCAGGAAATCTTGATCCTCCTTCCTTTTGTGTTCCACCAAAATATGTTGGCAATATCTCTGCCAGGGAGATTTTACATACAGCTGTTGCCTCATTTCCTAGCTCTGTTGGTGAATCTGGGTGTGAAAGGAAGATTTTCTACCATCTGCATGGAGGACATTATATTGTTAACTGTATTCTGGACACTTAAGAGAGAATTGAGTTGAATATTTAAGTACTCCCTGAAGTCAATGCACAATTTAAGAAATTATGTATATTAGAATGTTATGCTGCAATATGATACATTAAGTCCCAATGAAGCTGTGGTCCCTAATTCAGACTGTATTAAGTTTCTCTGTTTAAATTTTATTACAGTGTAGATCATCAATATCAAGTGAATCAAGTCAACTATGAAAGCATCCCTAATAAGAGAAAAACATTTTAATGTATCAAGAAACCACTCTATGACATTTTACACAAAATACACCACTTATTTCAGAGACATGTGCTGGAAAGTTGCTAATGTTAAGTTTTATACTAATTTATGTTTACCAAGTGCTTTGCAAACACCTTTATTTCCCATCTCCAAAGACTTTTGATAGTGGGTCAAATCAAGCTACCAACTTGGAGAAGCAATTTTGCTGAGATCTCACCACACTCCACTTTGAAATTTAGGATAATTTGATCTATAATCACTTGTAAAACCAATCCCTATTGTCAAAATAGCCAAGATATTGTCCTGAAACTTTTCTCAAATACTCTTCCTACCTCCTATTAGATAAAAACTATATTATCTCTCAAACTTCCCCAGAGACCCAGGAAGAAAAGTCAGCATACTTTTCACCTTCTGCTCCTTCCAAGTCACCTATTGGTCCACTAACACTTTTACTCAACTGCTTTTCCTATAGAACAATATAATCCTCTTCTTGTCATATTCATGCTTGATATATTTTTAAACAATAACCTGTATAAGCCATCATTCAGTTTTAAATTACAATGATACAGATGGTTAGGAAGAGAACACAGTTACTCATCTTGAAAATGAGTCCTTTTTGGACTAATATCAAAGACATATAAAAAACTCATAAAACTCTACAAAAAAACAAAACAAATAACCCAGTCAAAAAATGGGCAAAAAACTAAACAGACACTTCTCTACAGAAGACATTAAAATGGCCAGCAGGCACATGAAAAAATGTTATTAAAGAAATTATTATTATTAATAAATAAATTATTATTAATAAATAAACTTATTATTAAAGAAATGCAAATCGAGACTGCAATGAGATACCATCTCACATGATGAGAGTGGTCCATATGGAAAAGACCAGAAACAATTGCTGACAAGGATGTAGAGAAAAGGGACCCCTCCAACATTGCTGGTGGGAATACAAACTGGTCCTGCCCTTATGGAAAGCAGAATGGAGGTGTCTCAAAACATTAAAAATGGGTTAGCTATTGCCACTTAACCCAAAAATTCCACTCCAAGGCATTTATCCAAAAAATTCAAAAACATTAATTCAAAAAGAAACTTGGACTCATATGTTTATTGTAGCACTGTTTACTATAGCTAAACTATGGAAATAACCTCAGTGCCCCAGAACAGATGAGTGAATTAAGATGTGGTATATGTACACAATGCAATACTAAGCAACCAAAAAAGATGAACTCATGCCATTTATGGCAACATGGATGGAACTTGAAAGGACAATGCTAAGTGAAGTAAGTCAGAAGAAGAAAGATAAATACTGGATGGTGTTACGAATGTAAAGTAACTAAATGAATAGTCAATAAAGACAAGCTGAGAAGCTAACATTTTTGATGGGTGACTACAGAACTGAAGCACCAAGGGAGAAGGGGGTGGGAGAGAGACGAGCAAAGAGGGAAGGAAGCACAATGGTGTATGGTGGTGGAATATGAGTGAGATAGTGGTGGGTGCACTATGGTGGTAATACCTGATGGGGTACCCCAATATTAGCTCAGTGAAAACTTAATTTTTTTAAAAAAGAAAATGAGTCCTTTTTAATCCCTGTACACCAATGTCTGAGGGAGCCTCAGGAGAATCACTAGGCTGTTTTTGGTGAACATGGGAGTGGAGTGAGTAAAATAATTTTGATGAATTAGTTAATGAATTTGAGTTATGATTGCCTGATACCCTCTTCACTAAAGACCATGCTGCTAAGCAACTAGATTTTGACCACTTCTTTAAAAAGCAATACTCCATAACTATACTGAAGTCACACAGAGCTTTTATAGTTGCCTTTTATTTTCCTCTTAATAATATCTATGCAGACCTGAAAACGTGATAAAATCCTTAGTCACAATCTATCTTTTCTTTACTCAAACACAATATGGCAGATTCAGCTTAGGCATTCTTACTTATAGTCATCTCACTAACTCTTTGTTATTTGTATATCATCTTAGCCATCTATTGATGGTTACTTGATGGTTAAAAAGAACTATGTTCTTTTTCCAAAATTTATCATGAAGGGTGCTTAGACACCTCTTCATTCCCACTTTACATCCTCTTAACTAGCCCAAATATTGCTATGACAACCAGCTGTGCACAAAGTGTATGACAGCACCTTGCCTCCATCAAGGTGATATTTCCTTGCTTTCTGTATCAGAGAATTTTTGCTATAGTGTTTTTGGGAACCAGCTCAATTATTTGACTCACAAAGGTGGAAGGGAAGGAAGTTAACACAATCCATAAAGAAATACTCCCCTTTTCTATCTCTTGAGTAGACACTTCTGAGTGTATTCCAGACAGTTCCTCAGTCTATCTCCATAAGATAAAGTCATATTGGTCAGCTTGCCATATTTCTTTAAAAAAATGTATTATTTGACAATTGAAGAATACAGAGCTCAGTGATATTTTTATTATACCCATTTTTATATTGGCAAGTAGGCATGCTGTTGTGATTGTCAGACATATTTTATCAGTTTCCAAATCAATGTGCATATTTCCCAGAATATTTAAACTAACTGAAAATATTTTGACGATTTAAAATATAGAATATGAGAAAAACTTCCACTAAGGAAAATGTGTCAAATATTAAAATTGTCTACATGATTCTCTTTTCAATGTTTTAGTACAAAAGAGTGAAAAACGGGAGATTTACCTTTAGCAATGAAATGTTTTTCTCCTTTTAATTGATGGAAACATGCTATAGAAATAGTCACAAAACAGAATTACAGCATTGTGAATATAAAAAGTATAAAAACCCTAGAACATAACATGGTCTTTGAATTTGCTGTCTGATGATTTCCCATTTAATACCTTCTCTTAAATACTGATAGAAAATCAGAGTTCAGCCAGACATCTTGGCAATGCTAAGAAATTATACTTTAAATGCAGTATGCAAACACTTATTTTCATTTCTAATCTTAATTCAGAGAAGATGGAAAATATAACTATTCAGTCCCCAAAGAAATATTAACTCCTCAAACTAGCTGTTTTGTATAAAAAGTCCTACATGTGTGCCCTATGAACCTATCTAATATAACTACGAGTACTGTAATTTCTGCATTTCCTGATTTGTATTAAAATTGCAAGTATATTAGTCTAATATTTTATAGGGGTTTTTGGAAGACAGCTCTTGAAATTTTCAAGGTATAGGGTTGTCAGTTCTCTGGAAGGAGAATTCAGCATCTGACAATAATTCTCCATAATCTTTTACTTGGACAAAGATTCTGATTGGTTATAGTCATGGTTTTTACTCAGACACAAACCGAAAAATTTTATAAGTAAAGAGGTTCACTGTTTTCTTTTTTTGAAATAACTAGACATCATATCCTCACTTTGAGTCTGTCCTACATCCACTAAAGTATAAGACCTACTCCCAGGCACCCTGATTAGCTAACCAGCCACCATAGTGATTTTTTAAAAGAGAGTTATATTCTTTTTTTTTTTTTTTAAATAGGGAATGCTTCACAAATTTGCATGTCATCCTTGCCCAGGGGCTATGCTAATCTTCTATCATTCCAGTTTTAGTGTATGTGCTGCCAAAGCAAACACAAGCATTATTATCTAAATACTCAGATTGTGCCTGATGTTTTGCTACAAGTTTCCTTTATCTTATGCTTTGTTCTGTGTGTGTTGTTTTTATTTCTTTGTTTTTTGTTGCCTTATACAGCCACAGGGCACTGTTACTATTGACAAAAATCTACTCAAATGATAAAACATCAAAATTCTAAATTATTTTATGGAAATAACAGACTTATATTCAGATGCATACACTAGCCTATATAATCCTTTCCCTCCAGAAGAAAAAATATGTAGCTTTATGCATAGTCAGAAGAAACAGTAAACTTATTATTTTTACAGTAGCATTCATGGATATCTGAAATTGGGGTATATTGATGACCCTTCTTGGAAATTTGATAGAACTAAAAGTCAAAAATTCAAGAAAGTTGGTGGGTAATTTTTAATATTCAAGGTCTGATTTTAAAAGTAGTATAAAATAATACTATTTTTAGGTATCTGTGACAAAGAATGATTAGATGTATTCTATCATTCCGTCTCTATTGGATTATTTCTTTTTTTTTTTTTTTTTTTTTTTTTGGTTTCACTCTGGTCTTTATGGATTATGGCGAATCAAGTGGCTAAATAAAGTCAATTATGTAAAATTCATATTTTAAACTTGATCGCTCTATTTAATATACATGTCAAACTCTAGTCTTTACACATAGAAAGAGTATTCTTATTTTTAAGAATATTTAAGACTGGAGCATTCAGGAAAATTGATCACATCATTATGCCACAAAGAAAATCTTGATAAATTCTAAAAAGTAGAAATAGCATAGGCAATATTCTCTGATTACTATGTAATAAAGCTATAAAATAATTTAAAAAATCAAACAACAAAAATTCCCTTTCACCTGTAAACATTAAAAATTTCTCTTAAAGAAATTTTAATTCTTTTAAAAAGCCTACAACTCTTTTTTTTTTTTTTTTTTTTATAACATCAATACAATTTTATTTTTTAATCCCACAGTTCACATTTAAATTTTGTCAACTGACTCAATAATGTCCTTTTTTCCCAATTTAAGATCCAGTCTAGAGTGACGTTTCTAGAATCTCCTTTAATTGGGAACAACTTCTCAGTGATTGTCTTTTTTTTTTTTAAGATTTTTCTTTTTTTTTTTTTTTTTTTTTTTATAAATTTTATTGTTATATTCCCCATACAATTGCCGCCCCCCATTCTGACCCCAATCCCTCCCCTCCCGCCCCCGCCCCCCTAAAAGTGTCTCTGGTTCATAGTTTTTTGTTGATTTTGATTTTCACTTTCTTATAGTTTTTCATTTTCCTGGTCCATTATTTAAGTTTTCTAGATTCCTGCTATGAGTGAGACCATCCGGTATTTTTCTTTTTCTTTTTGGCTTATTTCGCTGAGCATGATCCCTTCCAGCGCCATCCATGTTGCAGCAAATTGCATGTGTTTATCTTTTTTGAATGCTGAGTAATATTCCATGGTATATATGTACCACATCTTCTTGATCCAGTCATCTATTTTTGGGCATTTGGGTTGTTTCCAAAGCTTAGCTATTGTAAACAGTGCTGCTATAAACATAGGGGTGCAGGTGTTCTTTGGAATTGATGTTTCTGTGTCCTTTGGGTAAATACCTAGGAGTGGAATTGCTGGGTCATATGGAAGCTCTATGTTTAGTAGGTCCAGAAATCTCCACACAGCTTTCCACAGTGGTTGGACCAGTTTGCACTCCCACCAACAGTGCAGAAGAGTTCCTTTTTCTCCACACCCTCGCCAACATTTGTTGTTGCTAGTTTTTTTAATATGTGCCATTCTCACTGGTGTAAGATGGTATCTCATGGTAGTTTTGATTTGCATTTCCCTGATGACAAGTGATGTTGAACATTTTTTCATATGCCTGTTGGCCATTTGCATTTCCTCTTCAGAGAAGTTTCTTTTAAGCTCTTCTGCCCATTTTTTGACTGGATTATTTTCTTTGTTGTTGTTGAGTCTCATCAGCTCTTTGCAGATTTTTGTGATCAGTCCTTTATCATTAGTGTTGGGTGCAAAAATGTTCTCCCAGTTGGTGGGGTTTCTCTTTGTTTTTGTTATTGTCTCTTTTGCTGTGCAAAAGCTCTTTAATTTGATATAGTCCCAGCTGTTTATCTTTGCCTTCACTATCACTGCTTTGGGTGATGTGTCTGTAAAGATGTCTTTGATGTGCAAATCACGTAGTGTTTCGCCTATATTTCCTTCTATATATTTTATGGTTTCAGGTCTTATGTCTAGTTCTTTAATCCATTTTGAGTTGATTTTTGTGTATGGTGTGAGGTGGTGGTCAAGCTTCATTCTTTTGCATGTAGCGACCCAGTTGTTCAATAAATGGTGCTGGGAAAACTGGGTCTATTGGATTATTTCCATCCACAAAACACCTGTGTGCCTTTTCCCTTGGGCTACCTTATTTTCTTCCCATTTATAGAAAATCATCTCGAAATCATCTATACTCATCATCTTCATTTTCCTCCTATCCCTCTGTTCAGACTTTTAGTCCTCTGCTGCAAATACATATTCAAGGTCACTAATTGTTGCTGAATCCATTGGTCTCACCTCAGTACTCATTGCACATTTCACAGAGCAGCCCTTGACAGTAATTGCTCAAACCCTGTTTCTTTCTTCTTTTAAGTATAGAAACATCACGCACTTCTGTTTTCCCACTTACATAATTGGCCTCTTGCTTTTTTCTAACTTTTTCTTTTCTTCCTGACCTCTAAATTTTTAAGTTCCCCAAGGACCGATCATCACTGACCTTTCAAGTTTTCTTTGTTACTGTATGCAAAAAACTCTGGGCGCTCTGGGTTTAGACTCTGGTTCCCTAAGGGAGGACATTTCCACTAAAAGACCAGCAAGAGTCCAGTTGAACTATGCTGCCTGACTCCTGGCTCCTTGTGGTCAGCAAGATTAGGAATCACCATTTTAGCAGGAGAAATTGACCCTGGCCATCAAGAAAAGTTAAAATTGGTTAGGACATGTTTGAAGCTTGATGATGCACTTGACTGACACTTGGTACTCCTTTGTCCACATTTGGTGGTAAATTGACCAGTGTGGTAAATCTAGTCAGAGAAGGATACAGGGTATAATGTTCACATGCCTCAGAATAAAGGGTTTTAAGTCATGCAACCAGGTAAACCTTTGAGACCAGCAGAATGCGAGTTAAGGGTAAGGGGGTGTATAATGCATGGTAGATGAGGGTGACAGTCAGAATGAGTTGTGACCATGTGATAAACGTGTTGCAGTTGGAGCTGTAGTTTGTCCCACTCACCTTCCTTTTACAAGTATTCCTCAGGAAGAACGCCTCATGGGAAGTTGCTTGCAGAACTTGTATACAAAGATTGAGGGGCATAAATAGTAGATAATGGCAGACACAGTGAACTACTTCCCCATCTTCTGGAAATGTTGCTGGAAGATGCTGCTCAACTGTCTTTCTACTGAAGGGATTCTCTCAGCTAGAGAAAGCTGTCTTGCCCAACATGCCTCTTTGCAGGATAGCTGGTATCCAATGACCAATCTGCATGGGAGTATAAAGGCCCCCTGTCAGTGCTCCCAAATCTGAAGGATTGAGGACTCCATCTCAGGGTCTACTTCTGAGGAAATCCTATAGGAAACAATATTTTAGTACTATTCACTGAAGAATACAAACACTTCCCTCACAGAGATTGGAATGGAAGCGATATTCTTGTGCTGTTTGTGCCTCACTCTCCCCCTATTCTGTTCTGTAATGCAGAAACCTTGCTTCCTGAAACTACATCTCCTTGGCACCCTTGGAATTTTCTTCCAGTTTGCTTTGCCCAGTAGAAGGATAGTAGCAGTGGGAGATGAATGGCAAGAGGAGGAAGTGAATCAGGGTATTTGCACTGCATCTCTGGCAATATCTACATGTTCTTTGTCACAATGGATGCCTCCAATCTTGGTAGCCTCTACTAAATAACCTCTACTAAGACTTTAGCTTCCAGTGATTATATTTGACTCCTGAATTCACTACAGGATCTAACCCAGACACATGATTAACTATAATTTCTGCACCTGACAAATGGGTTTATACATACCTAGCAAATGACCTTTCTGTCTAGAATACTTGTTTTTTTCAATCATCTCACACTCAGCTCAGATTTCACTATCTCCTTGAAGCCCCCTCTGACCATCCCCTTCCCCAGCTCATTCCCAGCATGTGTTCCTTAAGAATCCTGTTGCAGGGCCTCCACTGGTGGTGCAGCGGTTGAGCACTGGGCTGCGAAGCTGCCCGCAGCCTCTGCAGCACCGGTTTGATCCCAGGTTGCCAGCGAGGGTCCCACATGGCGCTCAGACCTCTCCTGCCGCGCCCACTGCTCCCCTCAGCAGTGTACTTCGGTCCTTCTGCCTGTTCTGCTCCCCGCTCTGGCTCTGGCTCTGGTGAATTCTCTCACCCTCCCGCACTTCTGACTGTACCCAGTGCTTGTATAAATAAATAAATAAATCTTTAAAAAAAAAAAAAAGAATCCTGTTGCTTCCCTCAATCCCATAACTTATTGTACCAACCTGTAATCATACATTCACTCAGCAAGACTCAGTCTTCCTTAAGGGCAAGATGAGTTTGGACTTTCATTTTTGTATTCTAATCCTGACACAGGGCATCTGATATGATAAGTCAATAAATGTTTTTTAAATGAATGAATGGCATAGAGACAGGCTTCTGTGTGTCACCAGAAAATGTTTACATGACATAGATTTGAAAATAAGAATATTGGAGTCAGAATCTCCCAGAATACAGACCTAGCTCTATATTTAAATAAGAGCTTTGTGAAGTGGCCTTGGGATAAATTGTTTAACCACTGTAGGCCTCATTTCCCTTAGTTATTAAATAGAAATGATAATAACACCAATTTCATAAGATTGCTATAAGAATTAAAATAATATTCATAATTGGCGTGCTATCATTAAATACCAGGTTTATTTATTGTGGTCTACCATGCAGCGGCTGGAGTGCTTAAGTGTCTCATCTATAATTTTTATT